TGGGTGGGCACTGTAATGGAATTAAACATTAGTGTTTAATGATCTAACCAGGCATATAGGATGTATGTGTTTTTAAATTTCCTCATAGAGTATTGTCATCCATGGCATTGAACTGATAATACAGATATGTGATGCTTGTGATGTAGAGATGGAAGCTGGTGTTGTTGTCATTGAAGAAGATATTAGACCTACTGACCGTGTTGATTTAGCATTGAAGTGTCTTCCATCTTATGATCCTGCCCGCTGCTGGACTGGTGACTCGGTTCCATTTTTGTACTGGAAGATTCGTGATTACGCACATGCTTATCGGAGTAGACTTGTAACCCCTTCAATGGTAAGTCACTGCAAATTGCTTAATATTATTGTGATTTACTAATTAGATTACAAAGGAAGAAATTAACTTTCATCATCTAGGTTGCAGAAAATATCATCTCAGCTGTCGAGGAGTTGAATAATAAGAAGCCTCCAATGGCATTATTTGTCACTTTTAGTGCTGAGGAAGTAAGGAAACAAGCTGCAGCTTCTACACGAAGGTTTGAGGAAGGTACTGCCAATTCATTCTTGCATAAATTTGTAATTTTTTGTTTCTTGGTTCCTGCTAAGCTATTGTAAAAGGTACTGCTTTAATTCTCTTTGAAAAAGTTTCGTACAGAGTATTGCAGGGATACCAGATTTTTTGACCAAAACTGAGTCCTATCCATCGTCAGTCTCTTAGCCTCTCAAATATATAACTGTGAACAATGCTTTTGCAGGAAACCCATTGTCTATTTTAGATGGGATTTTTATGGCAATAAAGGATGATATAGACTGTTGCCCATATCCAACTAAGGGTAAGCTCTTAGGACCCACCACATTCTGTCTTCTTTTCCAACTAAGATACTAGCATATTCAGCTTAGTGTTGTGTGCATCAGGTGCAACAACATGGCTTCATGAGGTCCGCACGGTTGAGAAAGATGCTGTTTCTGTTTCAAGATTGCGAAGCTGTGGTGTGATTTTTGTAGGAAAAGCAAATATGCATGAATTGGGTCTTGGGACAACTGGAAATAATCCAAATTATGGGTAAAGGATGTGCTTGAAGTTCTTATTTCAACCAGCATTTTGGTTTTAAGTTATTTCAGAAATTCAGATCAGGTTTATTTTAAGTCTAAAAAATTGGTGTTTCGGTATTTTCAGGAGAAAATGGTACAAGGATGAATTTCATATTTTGAATATCGATATGTTTGGCACTCTGCTTTCATAGATGACAGATATACACTTGCATTCTCTAGAGAATCTTTATCAAATATGTTTTCTCCAACTATTTGTTTATGTGATTTTCATCCACAGTATGTGCACCTACACATGGCTTCCTTAGTAAATATTCTATTTGAGTACAACAGTATGCTTATGAACTACTTATTTCATAATATATCAAACATATTTTTTGGATGTGTTGCCTTTTGGTTTCATTGCAGTTAATTGTCCAATACTGTCATCTGACCACATAAGATGTTCTCCAAAAGTTGATTGAATTTCAGTAGAAGTTGCATAACTGCGAAGTTATATATGCATGACTATGAATTTTCCATGCATGTTATTGAAGAAAACTGAAGAGAGTAGACCTTGAGAGTTCGACAATGAGGGTTTGAGAGTGAGAGTTTCGAACCATCCTCTCTCTCAGCAYCCTAACACTATTTTATTAAGATAGATTTGAATAATTACAAGGAGGCCCTTAGTTGGGCAAGAAATTACAAAGAACATAATATAGACAGGATGGGCCCAGAATAAGGCCCATTACAGAAAAACATAAATAATAAGAAAAGAATAAACAGCCTATGGGCCATTCGGCCCATCTTCTCTACAGTTATTGAATCAATTGAATTAAGTTTCCAAAATATTTGCATCTTTTCATTTTTTTTCATTTCTGTTATTTTATTATCAATTATTTCTACTAAGCATAAAGCATATGAGGGGCACTTGTGATTGAATGCAATACATATAGCCATATACTACTAATGTATGCTTTAGTTGCACAGAAGAAATACTTAAAGGGACTCAATAAGGACTGTTCTTGTTGATGCTCATGGAGATAATTCTCTGTTATTACCTTATTTTTCATTTCCCAGTAAATTTTGTAGGGTTTAGCATTAAAATAATCTCACAAAATTGGCATGCAATTCCCTAGTGAAATAAGTCAAAGAACAGATTGAGCTGTAATTCATCCTTATCCATAGCCTCTTCAACAATAATGGGTATGGTAACCTCCACTATCTTCCATCTGCAAGCTCCTTTCATGGCTTATTTGTTGAGTGTTGTAGGAAACCTTTAGGCAATGTTTATTAACTAGGACATTGGATGTAATGGAGGTGCACTTTCAGTTACCTTTTGTTGCATGGTTGCTTGGCTGAGTAAATGATTAATAGAAATAGAAGATGAGACTAAAGTATATTATGGGAAATTAGATAGAAACAATGAAGATTCTAAATTGTTATAAAAAATTATGTGTATGTGATAGATTCTTGGAGCAATAATTTGTGAATATTTGGGAGTATATTTCCTTTGGTAGAGTGAAATGGCAAAACTGGATTCTTGCATAGCTGATCCCATATACTTGGGATAAGGCTTTGTTGAGTTCATAGTACTTTGGACATGTTTTCATCTTCAATCTGACAAAGTGTCATGCTATACTCTTAAGTTGTAAGAGAAATGGAGTCTTCACCATGGTTTTCGAATCTTCGTTGACCCAAACGGTTGGACCGCTTGGCCTGGAAACCGTTCAGGCAACTGGTTCCATTTCACCCTTAACCCGTTTCTTGGCCAAAAACTGTTGACTTGGTCAGTGACCCATCGACCCGGGCAGTCAAACCGTCTTGTTCAACCCGGAATTTTTTTGGCCATTTTTTATTTTTAAATTGGAACAGGCTGGCTGTTTGAACCGGACGGTCAAACTGCTGACCTCGGAAACTGGTGGCCAAAGTGGTTCCGGTTCCAGCTCGGTTTTTAAAACATTGGCCTTCACTCCAGAAAAGAAACAAAGAAATTGGAAACATTGTCTCAAATTTTATAGTATCAGTACTGCTAATAGATGTATGTAAATTAAGTATTTTTATTTTGGTATTGATAGTTTCCTTTGGTGTAAAGATTGCCAAAATTGTATAATTACCTTTATTTCATATTTGTCTTTCTCTGCTCTGGCTGGTCATCTTGGAGCTGCATTTAGGAATTAGGACCCTATATGCTACTTTATTTCACTTCATCTTGTATACTTGGCTCTATATTTCTCCATTGCGTGATTATGTAAATTAAGTATTTTTATTTTGGTATTTGTAGTTTCCTTTGGTGTAAAGATTGCCAAAATTGTATAATTACCTTTATTTTATATTTGTCTTTCTCTGCTCTGGTTGGTCATCTTGGAGCTGCATTTAGGAATTAGGACCCTATATGCTACTTTATTTCACTTCATCTTGTATACTTGGCTCTATATTTCTCCATTGTGTGATTATGCTGATTCTATTGACAGCCTGTCTGTTTGCTGATTCCATCACTTGTTGGTATCTGACTGATAGAATTTGGAGGACATGTACATAAGATCATTTTCGTTTTAGTTTTGCTTTTGAACCTATTAGTTGATTATCTAAAACTGAAATTGTCAAAATATTAATAAGAGCTAGAAATCAGTTTATTTATTGAAATCTAATGAAGGCCTTAATTTCTGTTTTTAGTAGCACGTGTAATGGATCCATTTTATATGATGAATTTATGCTTTAAGATGTTAAAAACAAGCTTAAATGGAATATTTCATTCTATATGCTATCAAAGTGTCCCATAAGGAAGAGAAATTCATAATTGCATGGATTTCTGCCTTTCACTTTTACATTATAATGGTTTCATTTCCTGTTTCTAATGCTTCCTGGAACTCATGTGAACTTCTCAGAGTTCAAATTCTTTTTCTTTTTATAAGGTTGGTACAGAAAATTATCTTTATTCACATTTGTAGCAGAACTACTTAGCTAGCATAAGTTCTTTTCATCTCCCACCCACTTGTGCATTTTTTTTTTGTCTTTTTCTATGATATCTTTGAAATCAGTTTAGTGTCTTAATATTTTGACAAGACTGTGCTCCATAACAGAACAACAAGGAACCCGCATGATGTTGAAAGGTATACAGGTGGATCTTCCTCAGGTCCAGCAGCAATTGTAGCTTCTGGATTATGTTCAGCTGCACTGGGAACAGATGGTGGAGGTTGTAAAATTAAAATAATAGATATATAGATAAAGATTCTTTCTCTAGAAATGTTCTGATTTGGTGGTATGCACCATATGCAAAGTGCAGGTTCAGTTCGGATTCCTTCTTCACTCTGTGGTGTGGTGGGCCTGAAATCAACATACGGACGTACTGACATGAAAGGGTAAGGTCGCAAGCTATATGTACAGTGTAATAAATGACTAATATATGGTATATTTACTGTCTCTATATTATATTTATCTTGATCCCCTAAATAACAGACAGAACTGTTCGAGGCAGTGAAACTTGGTTTACTTTTAGTATGAATCACAGAGAAAGTTACATTGAATTCTCTTTGTGAACAATTTGTAGTAAATATATCTTATATTAAACTTGCTAACAACTATTGGAACTTGATTCAGGTTCATAATTCATGTAACAGAGCCCAAATAATTGTGACAAGGCTCTGTTACTGATAATGATGTATTCAGAGGCATTTAGAACATGTTATGTAAGTGTTAGAGTTAGCCGAATAAGGGTAGATTA